AATGGCAGCAGAAAAATTTAAAATTAAAGACTAAAAACTAAAATTTACAGCAGTAACAGTGCAAAAGAACAGTCAGTAAAAAAACAGTAAACAGTAAATAAATAAATAGCAGGAGGAAGGCAGGAGGCTGAAGAGCCTGTGTGCGGGGTGGTTGGCGTCGCTCACAATCGAGGTAGCTTTACGGGTGAGGCGGGTGATGTATGTGTCTTGCAAGGAAGGGAGTGGGGCACCAATGATCAATTATACAAGAGTTATAAACAAGTTTTACACAGATACTACACATGAGCAAGAACAAAGTTATATATAAAGCTAAACAAGTACCGTACACACAGATGTACTTACAAGTATATACGCAAGTTAGGACTCACTTTTTATGCAAAATTAAAAATTCATTGGACCGTGGTTAAAGTGTAACTACACTCCTCAATTCTGCTAGCTCCCTCCCTCTTAGCAGATTTCACAAATGCATTAGAGCAAAGGATAGTGACTTTAGGGGCCATGGCCTCCACATCTAAAACTGTGTTAGAAAGACTCACCACAGCAGGCTGGAGGAGGTGAGTCACCCTCCTCTGATTAGAGGTCATTTATTTCATTTTTATAAAAATGTCATGATGTAGTCATAAACAGTCTACGCTATGTCAGCATTGGCCTTGTAAGGTTCAGGGTGATTTAAAACAGTAGATGAAATGTAGAGCCATTTTTAACCCACAAAGTGAAAATACATTTTAGGGTGGGGTACCACACTTATCAGACATGCTTCAAAGTCAAAATTAACAACAACAAAACAGACTGTTTGGAGTATTTCGCCTGTGATCCAGCAGAGGGTGCTCCACTATCAGCTTGACCCAAGGCATTCCCTATTGACTTCAGTAAACTAAGCTAGTAATGTTATTGTAATAGTTTGGGGCCATGTTGAGCTAATGTTAGCTTGCAGAGAGTGGAATAAGGCGACTCATAAACTCACAGCTCACAGGGGTCTCCACAATAGTCGCTGTTTATTACTAACACATCAACCTCATCAAGCTCAGTTGCATGGCTACTATTTAATCATACATGAACATAACAGAGGCCACACATAGGCCAAACATTACTGTTGAGCTGAGAAGCAAATGAAAAACAGGAGCTCAGCAACTAGTATCCATTCACAGCAGGTGTAACATTCAACTAACTCAAGACAGGTTAGGTGTTATCTGATGACGCTTCTCTCGTATCTAGTTATTTGTACAATGTGTGTTGTGAGTGAATTTTCTTTTTTAATTCATTCAAATGAATTGTATGTTTTTTGGAAAAAGTGACAGCTCTAACACATGTATACAGTATATACACGCTAACATATATAAAGGTATACATAAAGACGATACAAATATGTGAAAATTCAAATCAGTGAGATGGAAAATTAATCGGGATATCAATCATGGTATCAAAGACTTAAGTTTCACTTCACAAAAGGTAATATGCCTTGTTTCACAATATACCCTACTTTCTGAAATAAAAAATAGATTCTATAATTTGATCAAATATAAGAGAAAATGTTCTTACCTAGGTTCAGTGTTCTCTAGCAAAAAAGATTTTTGCTTTTAATCTCATTTTGTTCGTATTATAATATACAAGTGAATATAGGAATACACACATGAATATATGATAAGATCTTAATGAGTGAGACAAGCTTTAAGAGTTACTATAGGAAGTAGAATAATAAGTTCATCCTCTGGAACTTCATTGAAGCTTCCAGGTTCCACAGCTAAAGCTATGATAGCAGATCTTAAATAAGAATTGTGTACTTAAGTATATAAATGTGTATAGATTTGGCCAAATCCAGTGAAAACAACTTAAGATGAGCCAAGATGCATGGTAGAAAGTATGCCATCCTATACCTGTGGGGACCCAAGTGCAGATTTTAAAGGAGTCTCTCTATGCCTGCTACTCTCCAAAGTTAACTCTAAAAACAAACTCTCTTTTGCTAGTTCACCTCAAGGTTTACCATTTACCTTGTTGCCTAGCTGCAGCGACTGTACGGAGTGTCCGAAGCTTCCCAATCATTATAATGTGGTTGATAAATGAGGTGAAAAAGAGGGATTGATGTGCTGGGGGATGAGGATAATTCATTTTCTCAGAGTATTCGCTGTATTTTTGGCATTTTAATTCATTTTAATTCAATTCAATTCAATTTCTATTATCTATCTATTCTTTCTATTTGTATAGCGCCAATTCATAACAGAGGTTATCTCGGGACACTTTTTAAATAGAGCAGGTCTAGACCGAACTCCTTATAACATTTACAGAGACCCAACAGTACCACCATGAGCAAGCACTTGGCGACGGGGGCAAGGAAAAACTGCCTTTTAACGGGCAGAAAACCTTAGGACAGTCCTCTAGGTCGGGTGGCTCTCTGTGCTCGACCAGTTGGGGTGAGAGAGAGAGAGAGACAGACAGACAGACAGACAGACAGACAGACAGACAGACGCACAGCAACAACAGTATTGGTAATGGCAATCCAGCAGGACCATGGCAGGAGGCTCCACCAGGATCGATAATTCAGCATTTTTATATTTGGTTTAAGCACTTACGATTGCACAGTTTCTTGAGAGATGTGATGGAAGACAAAGAGGAGACGCTTATTTTGCCTTCCTGTAATGTCTCAATGGGTTTGGCCTGCCTCAGGAAGCGCTTATAGAGCTCTGTCTGCAGTGGAGTCAGCCTGCAGGTTTACATGAAATATCATTCAATATTATATAAAAATATAATATACAGAGAGCAGGGCTGGGGCGCAATACTTTTTGAGAACAGACTAAGATGTGTTTGTAGCCAGATTTCCAGATTTAAAAAAAAAAAATTGTATGGACAAATCTTTATCTCTCCTTCTGTCTCTCTTATCTGCTCCTCTTATTTTGATAAATAAAAATAAAATAAAATAAAAAGTTTTTGGTTGAAAACATGTGTCTATTCAAACTAAGTGAATGAAAAAAGTATATTATTTTATCTCATAAGAGACAAACATCACTGAAATATTCCATCTCTGCTTTTTCAAAACCTCTCACCAGAAACCTACCTGCAACACACAACCTGCTCAATCTTCACAGGAAGATACTTAGACAAGATATCAGATGTTCTTCTTATCAAACACCTATTGAGACAGAACATGGTCAGTATTACAGATGGATGTTAAACTTCAAAAAGACAGTTAAATGTAATCAAAATATTTTCACACCCAGTGTTTAATGTAAGTATTTTAAGCAAAACTATGATGCAAAACTCAAAATGTGAAAGAAATTGTTTGGAGAAAGCTTTTTGTACAAAAATTGTTTTGTGTATTAGCATTTATTATTATTATTATCATTATTATTATTATTATTACCAATAATTAACAAAATAAGGTCACTGCCTAAGTGTGCACATTATTTGAAGTCATATTGCCAAACTTTAGTCTAAACTAACTAAACTTATGAAATGTCACAGTCCAACCTCATCTAAACAAGTAAGTAGTGTCAGAGGCACGTAATTAGAAACAAATCAAACAGCAATAAAGACAAACTGCATCTTAGGGAAAAGGTGTGGCAGTACATAGACTTAAGAATTCAGAAAGGCGATATCACGTTAAAAGATATAATAAGACAAATAAAATAAAATAAAAAACAACAAAATAAACAGAAAACAGTATGAAAACCCCAAAAGACAAAATCAAAAAAAAAAAAAATGCTTTAAGCTCACCTGTTGACGATACTGATCAGCTCCTTGAGTTTCTGCTCTCCTGTCTGTCTGTCTTTATCACTGGCATCAGCATCACGACCCTTGAGGATGGGAAGCTCAAATCGCTTTTTAAACTCCTGAGCTGTACCTGCCATTGAGGTGAAAAAAGAAAACAATACAGGAGATCTGGACAAACAGCAGAAATCACTCAAATATATTTTAGTTGTTTTGTGTGTGTGGAGCTACTTACCAAGGATCCCAGCATTAACAAAGTGGACCAAGCTGAAGTACTCCAGCAGGTCATTCTGGATGGGAGTGCCTGATATCAGCACCCTCCTCTGGACACTCATGGTATTTAAGGCCTGGTATGTCTGGTTGTCAGAGTTCTTCAGCCGATGGCCCTGCAGCATGCACAACTATTAATGTTACATCATCGTAGAATCTTTGACAGCTCTGAAGTACAATGTATGAGATGAAATACCTCGTCACAGATGACAAGTCCGACTTTGCCCTTGTGCAGAACCTCAGCGTGCAATCGAAATGTCTCATATGAAATTATCAGGATCGGGGTCGGTACTCTCAAACCATACTGAGAGATAAAGTTCACTAGAAATCACAGAAAACAGACCAGTTACTAAGCAGATACATTTTCCCTTTAGGGAAACAAAGAAAACAAATCAGCACTATTAAAAGGACATATTCTAACATAAACATAGTAACAAACTTTGTTTGTAAAAGACTTGTCAAAATCACGTTTTAGAAATTTTAAGGCCTAAAATTAGATTTTTTTTCAAGACCCCACTTTAAAGAAAAAAAAAAAAGAGATTTTGCCACCTTGTCCAAAAAACCCTGATGATTACTTCTGAAAAAGGAAGCCATATTGAGATTAAACACACAACCACCACATGGGCTGAACGAAAAGGTGTTTTGAGGTGTTTTCTTACAAGATAATGTTTGTTCTTTTGATTGGTTTTGTTAAAGCAGCAACTTCCGTGGCTTAAAAATAAGGTGCCCAAAACTGCAGTTCCTCTAACGGCCACTCGAGGCTGGCTCCCGAAGTGAGTCTCCATAAGGCAAATAAACATGTTTACAGCCTGGTACAAAAAAGGTTTGGTCTCTATAACTCACCTGTTTATATTAAG